CAGAGGAGGGGTTGAAACCCAGTCGCTACTCCTCAGCGCAATGATAGCCACTGGAATCCTGTTTTCTCATCTTTAAATGCTTAGTTTAAATCCTTAAACTAAGATATTGTATTTCCCAAAGTGCCAAAATCTCCTGTTGATGAACTTTCTATAAATACATGGACAATAACTTCTCTCAGGCTGTTCACACATCAAAAAAATTAATTTGTTATGGAAGAGCAAATCAAGGGAGGATTTAATGTGTGGAAAAATTAGCATTCACTGTAGGCTAAAGGCGAAATACATTAAATGCATCAGAAAGGGTACATTTTGAAACTTAAAATTTAGCTCTTAGTAATTATGGAAGTTTATTTACCATATCCTCTTTTTACTGTAGGTATTGAGGGACAGACTTTTTATTTTTTTATATTTATTTTTAAATATATTTTATTGATTTTTTACAGAGAGGAAGGGAGAGGGATAGAGAGTTAGAAACATCGATGAGAGAGAAACATCAGTTGGGTGCCTCCTGCACTCTCCCTACTGGGGATGTGCCCGCAACCAAGGTACACCAAGGTACATGCCCTCGATGGGAATCTAACGTGGGACCCTTGAGTCAGCAGGCTGATGCTCTATCCGCTGAACCAAATTGTTTAGGGCAAGGGACAGACTTTTTAAAAAATTCTTCATTGTTTAAAGTATTACATAAATCCCCTTTTCCCTCCATTGACCTCTACCCAGCCACGCCCACCCTCCAGCACATGCCCTCACCCTCCTACTGTCTGTGCCCACTGATTATGCTCATATGCATGCATACAAGTTCTTTGGTTGATCTCTTTGATATTTATCTTTCTCTGACTGGCTTATTTCACTTAGCATAATGCTCTCAAGTTCCATCCATGCTGTTGCAAATGATAAGAATTCCTCCTTTTTTACAGCAGCATAGTGTAGATGCACCAGTGTTTTTTAATCCACTCTTCTGCTGATGGGCACTTAGGCTATTTCCAAATCTTAGCTATTGTAAACTGTGCTGCTATGAACATAGGGGTGTATATATCCTTTCTGATTGGTATTTCTGATTTCTTGGGATATATTCCTAGAAGTGGGATTACTGGGTCAAATGGGAGTTCCATTTTTAATTTTTTGAGGAAACTCCATACTATTCTCCACAGTGGCTGCACCATTTTGCATTCCCACCCGCAGTGCAAGAGGAATCCTTTTTCTTCACACCCTCACATTTTCAGAATTTTTCTTTTGGGCTTGAAAACTGCTAAAATCTAGTCAGGATGGTAAGTAACATTGCCAGTCAATTGTATGCTGTAAATTACAAGCCTTAGGGATGGGATGTTCTTTTTTCCTAACTGGAAAAGGAAATGATGTAATACAACATGTTATTCTACTACTGAAAATCTTTAATGATTTTGCTGGTTTCTAAAATAGTGTAAGTTTATATATATACTAGAGGTCTGGTGCACAAAATTTGTACGCAGGGTCGGGGGAGTCCCTCAGCCCAGCCTGCACCCTCTCACAATCTGGGACCCCTTGGGGAATGTCCAACTGCCAGTTTAGGCTTGATCCCATGGGATTGGGCCTAAACTGGCAGTCAGACATCCCTCTCGCAATTCAGGACCGCTGGCTCCTAACTGCTTGCCTGCCTGCCTGCCTGCCTGATTGCCCCTAACTGCTCGCCTGCCTGCCTGATCGCCTCTAACCACTCTGCCTGCCTGATCGCCCCTAACTGCCTCTGCCTTGGCCCTGCCGCCACAGCTTCATCCGGAAGGGCATCTGGAAGGTTGTTCGGCTGCCTGGTCTAATTAGCATATTATGCTTTTATTATTATAGATGAAAGAAGAATAAGCCATGAGGGTGAGATCCACATTATGGATGAATGGCCTTAGGAGAAGAAATGCCAGAGAGCTTTCTCCCTTTTCCTGTCTCCACCATGTGAGGATGCAGGGAGAAGGTGGCCATTTATAACACGGCAAGAGGGTCCCCATCAGGTACGGAATCTGCCAATACATTCATCCTGGCCTCCCAGCCTCCAGCACTGTGAGAAATCAATGGCTATTGTTCAAGTCACTTGATCTATGGCATTTTGTTAGACCAGCCAGAGCTGACCAAGACAGAAATATAAGAAGAAAATTTAAACACAGATTGGCAGTGTCTAAAAGGGTTTTGGTGCTTTGGGGAGCACAAGGGGCGGAAACAGAATGTTGTATCTCTCCATCTTGGGTCCTGAAACCCTGAGGTGTTTTTTTCTTATCGTAGGAAAAGGCAGGAGGGGACTGAAGTCCCAACTTGGCAGCCATCTGAAGAGCTGCAGAGCAGGCTGCAGCAGTGGGCCTGCCAGCTTCTTCATGGCTGAGTCAGAAAGGCCAGGACCCGCTGCAGTGCACCTGGCCCGCGTACATTTCCGCTATTAGCAGTCAGTGTTGGAAGGTGCACTTATGTTCACCCTGCATATCTGGGCTTATCGACCTGCAGCCCAAGTCTGCGGAGAAGCTGGGGCTCACTCGAGGGAAAACCTGAGTGCTGTTCACGCCCCCAGACATTTTCCACTCCTGCGCATCTCTGCTGCCTGAAAGCAGAGGGGGGCGGGGGGAGAAATAACAAGATCCAAACCACTGGACAAAATCATTATTCTCTTCATTAAAAAGCTGTCACGCGCAGATTGGACCTGAGAAGCAATTAAGCAATGAGCGGAAAGGAAGGCTCCACACCTACCACTAGTATTGAGGTTGCAACTGACAGATCATAACATTTACCAATTGTAAATGTACATACTGATGAGTTTTACCGAATTGGGTGAGTTTTACTGGAGATTCTTATTCAGTAGGTCTGGCTGGTGCCTGAGAATTTGCCTTTGCAGCAAGTTCTCAGGTGCTGCTGACACTGCTGGCCTGGGGACCACACTTTGGGAACCTCTGCTCTACTGAACTCCTGGCCATTTCCCTTCTTACCGCATGATGAATTCCTTAAAGCATAATCTCAACTTGTTGTGATGTCGATAGAGTTTTGGGTCAGCTGGAATTTCGGCCAAAAACACTTGGGCTACTTCCAGTGGTCCCTGAAGGAGAAGGCAGGAAAATAATACTCACATTGGAAATAAAACGACATTACTTGGAAGAAAATCTTGGCACGATTTCTTAATTTGAACATTTAATTTTGTAGTTGGTTTGATCAAAACAAATAAAAATATAAAAGGAGGTCTTAAACTCTTCAGGGATCTTTGATTCTCAAGGAGCAGTCTGGAGTTTTCAGAGAATACTCAGAAGCATAAACGTATTTTCTTAATCAAATGCTACTAATAATAGGTTTCCTTGAATATATAAAGATAACGATACTACATCAAAGGGCATGTGCTTTGAGCTGCTTTTATAAAAATGGGGATTGTCTTGCTCCCATTCAGATTCATTTGCTCAGTTGCCCTAGAGGGGAATGTAGAGTACATATGTAGTCCATGGTTGTAGGCTGATACAGTCTTCTATTTTCATCAAAGGATTGGGACTTACAAAAGCAAAAGCTTCCTAATATTTTCTGGTCTTAGAAATATAATAGTCATTTCTCCTCTCTGCTATTTTTGTTCCCTTGACGTTATGTGGACACAGAATTTTGCAGGGGAGTCCAATTGTGCTGAGTGAGAAAAGAGTCGCAGAGCTCAAGAGTTTCTGAGTGTGGAGGTGTGGACAAGAGCGGATTTAGATCTGAAATTAAAGTGGTCCATTGGACAGAGTACTAAGCTGGCATCTTCCTCCATCTGAGACTGGGCTAATTAATCCATGCTGAATTTGGGAGTCAAGATTCTAACGGGTCTGAGAAGATCCAGTCTGGTCTAAAGTGGCCCAAGAAGCCTGGTCCCAGGTCACTCCTGGTTAGCAAGGCTCCTGGCATGCTGGCTTCATCTGATGACTGACCCAGCAGTTGCATGTTCCAGACCCTTTCCTCATTCTCCTACAGGTTTCTTAGATTAGCCTCAAGCCCTGCAACAACTCTGGCTAAATTGGTCATGACTAAGCATTCTTCAATAGGACCCCAGGTCTCAATCATATTGCTGAGTCTGGTCCCAAGTCAGAAAATGCTACTCCTTAGATCAGTGGTTCTCAACCTGTGGGTCGCGACCCCTTTGGGGGTCGAACGACCCTTTCACAGGGGTCACCTAAGACCCTCAGAAAACACATATATAATTACATATTGTTTTTGTGATTAATCACTATGCTTAAATTATGTTCAATTTGTAACAATGAAATTAGGGGTCACCACAACATGAGGAACTGTATTGAAGGGTTGCGGCATTAGGAAGGTTGAGATTAGGAAGGTTGAGAACCACTGCCTTAGACGGTCCACTCAGTCTCCAGGATTTCTTTTCTACCTTGGGTTGTTGCATAAGCAGAAGAGGTCACTCAAAGTGTTCTGAACCTCACAAATCTTCAGCCCAAATTGAGGAACATTATTTGTGTGCTGATCAGACTCCCCATGAACCTCAAGGAAGGAAGGTGCAAACATATGAAAATCAAGATAATAAGAACCAGAGGAGCTGCCACTAGCTCGTTTTGCTGACCTGATTCACGGTAGCTCCGACGGAGCCCTGCAGCACCATCTGAAGCATCTTGGCGTCGGGGGGCTCTTGGTGAATGGCAACTGCCAGCTGCAGGGTCTTCTTCTTCATATCTTCAATGGCAACTTCGATTGGTGTCAAAACAAACTGAACATAAGACAGAAATGTAGGAAAGTCACTTTCAGATCTTATAAGCCAGGAAAACCTGGAGCTATGACATAGAGGGCACCTGGATTTGAAGAGAAACTAAGGAGGCTTTCAGAGTAATTTAAAATAATCTGGAAAGGTTAAGAGGAAGGAAGGGCCTAACATTTTTTGAGTGCTTATTATGTTCCAAGAACTTTGCATACGCTTATTATTTACTCCTTTAAACAACCTCCTTATTTTCTCCATTTTATAGTCCAAGAGGGAGTTGTAAGGTGACGACAGTGCCACAAAAATGACACAGGTAGTAAGCTAGAAGGCCAGAATCTGATTGTAATAATGTCTACATTTAAAATCCATGCTATTAAAAATAGAGCACTCAAGATTTTCTTTCCCACTATAACGCAAGATTTTGGCATCAGGTGTGCCTTCTCCAACTACCCTGAAGGTGCATTCCTAGTAAACAGAATTCTCTCAAGGGTCAATCTGCTGGCTGCTAAGTTCTGCTGGTTTAGGATATGATCCTTCATGAATGTTATGAGTGAATTCATGTCCCCCTAAGTTCATATATCAAAGTCTTAAGCTCTAGTACTTCAGAATGTGGCCTTATTTGAGATAAGGTCTTTACAGAGGTAACCAAGTTAAAGGTGGTCATTAAGAAGGGCCCTAATCCAGTATGACCTAGGTCCCTATAAGAAGAGGACATCTGGACCCAGAGACATGCATAGAGGGAAGATAATATGAAGACACAGGGAGAAAGGTGGCCATCTACAAGTCAAGGAGAGAGGCCTCAAACAGATCCTTCCCTCACAGCCCTCACAAGGAACCAACCCTGCCAATACTTTGAATTTTGACTTCTGGCCTTCAGAACTAGGAGGCAATAAATACAGCAGATGCCTTCTGTTATTTGAGCCATGCAATGTGGGACTTTGTTAAAACAGCCCTAACAAATGAATATATTGAAGTTCTCAGAGAACAACAGATGGCCAAGAAAAATTATAAAGGCTCCTCTTGGGACCATGGGTTTATTTTTGTGCTATGCCTTTATGTCCTAGTGTTCCAAAGTCCAGAACAATAAGAAATACAGCAGATGCCTTCGAAACCATCCTCCTCTTAACGGAGTCACCAGTTCAGGCTTTCCTTGCCCTTGTGAAACCCACTATCTGACGCGCTTGCTGAACACCTGAGCACGTGGCCCACTCTCCAGTGAGCTCAGTCACTTCTGGTTCTGCCCCGTGAGGTGTGCAGTCATCACAATTCACCTGTGTTTATTAACCAACTTGATCATGCCTGTTATACTTGTTATTTGAATGACCTAATCTAATAATGCTCAAACTATGGGTGTGGAAAGGGCAAGAGTTGTTTCTATAAAAACCAAGCTGATTGCTTGGACAAAGCATTATGAAAAGCAGTTTCTATAAAGATTCCTGCCATATTAGGTGTGCACAAGACAACTATAAAAGGCTAGGGTTAAAAAAAATCATAAAAATCCAGGAGGATTCTGCCAGCAAGGATTTTTAACTCTCACTCTGTTTTATATAAATAAAAACTGGAAGTTATAGACAGTGCATTATGGGTGGGGTTTACATAAGACAATGCTGAATTGTGAGAGCCCAACCCAAAATCACAGAGAAGGTTTGGCCCTGTATAAAATAAATGACAAATAAGTGTACATGGATGTGTTTTAAAGTAAAACTAAAATGTTTAAAGTACGGTTAATTTTGAATGATCTGTGGCCTGAGATACTTTCTTGATCAGTCCCACGGATGAGACGTCTCCCATACACAGAACCCCAGAAGAGAAAGGGGTCCTTCCTGTCAGTACAGATGAGGAAACTGAATGAAGACAGGGGGTTGAGCAATGTCGCAGGAGGAAGCTGGGTCTGGAAGGCAGGGGGGCTCCTTATCCACTTTGCATGGAGCCCTTCCTCCAGCTTCACCCCTTGTCCCTGGGGCTGCTTGCCTGCCATTCCTGTCTCTAATAACTAACCACCCGACTGCGCCTAACTCACCTGTAAGCCTTTACAGATATAAAGACTTAATACAAAGTGTTTAAAATGTAAATATATACAGTTCATACAAATGTATCATTAAGATACACATTTAAATTATAATTCTGTAAACATTTATATTAAAGATAGAACTTTAAAATAGAAACTACTGAAATATAAAGTAGTGCTATGAAATACGTAGCTGCCTCAATGGAATTCCCTGGCACCACAAGAATGAGAGAACAGCCACTGAAATGGTATTTCCAATGTGTCCCTTTTTAGATTTCACTCCAGTCTGCCATGAGGGAGGGTTGCGTTGCCCACTCATTCGGTGGCAGCCTCAGTCCAGAGCCCGTCCCCAGCAGGGCCCATTACCTCCTCCTTCTGGATGACGCTGATGCGGGTCTTGATGTAGGGGAAGGCGTGCATGGTGGTCAGCACGGTATTCCGCCGGTACTGCTCGTGCAGCTCTCCCCGCGGCCGCCCCTCCAGGGTGAAGGGGGTGGTGTACATGAACCTCCGCAGGTTGAAATTCTTCTCAAAGTAGGTTACCCTGTCTTTCATCTCATACTCATCAAAGTAAGGCTCCACAAAAGTGATCTGTATGTAGGCCTGAGGGAGAAAAGGCAGGGGAAGGAGGAGATGAGCGATTCTGCAAACAGCCAGCCAGGACGCACTGGAGAGGCATGCTGGAACCAGCGCCGAGGCACCGCCCCTCTGAGTTCCCTAAGGCCACAGAAGCTGAGTGCATCGGGGAGACTTCAGCAGTCAGCCAGGCCTCCTCTCCACCCCAGGGAGAGAGAGCACAGTGAGAAGGAGAGGGCAGTGTGTCTCTGTAAAGTCACATCCACAAGCCACCCCTCCTGACTGAGCCAACTGGAACTTGGCATGAGAGTTTGCAAACTGCTAGTCCAAAGAGACAAACGTTCCTTCCCAGAACAACCATGACTGCTGCACATTTGGTAGCATGGCCAAACGAAATGAAACGGACAACACCAAGTGCTGACAAAGATGGGGAGCAGCTGAAACTTTCATACACTGATGGTGGGACTGCAGAATGGTACAGTCACTTTACCAAAGAGTTAGATTTCACTGACCACACGACCCAGCATTCCCACTGCACGTGCATCCCCAAGAGAAATGGAAACATATGTTCAAGTAAAAACCTGTACACAAAAGTCTGCAGCAGCATTATTCAGAATAGACAAAACTAAAAACAACCCAAATGTTCCTCAAGTGGGGAATGGATAAACAAATGGTGGTACATCCAGGCAATGGGATACTACTCGGCAATACAAAGAATCAAACTACCACACCATGGATGAATCTCAAGTGTGCTGTGCTAAGTGAAAGAAACCAGACTCAAAAGGCTATCGTGGGATTCCATGGATTTCCTGTAGAATGTCATTGACATGACGTTCTGGAAAAGGAACAATTGCAGAGACAGAATACAGATCAGTGACTGGCAGGGGCTTAAAGCAAAGGGAAGAAATGGCCACAGAGGTGCACAGGGAAATACTTTGGGGTGATGCAACTCTTACATATCTTGATCATGGTGGTGGTTACATGTGTTTGTCAAAACTCATAGAACACCAAAAGAGCCAATTTTTATTGTATGTACCCCATTAAAACACACATACACACACATACACATACATACATACACACACACACACACACACAGAGTGAATGAGAGCACTTAACTAAGAAAGAAGGTCTCTTTAAAAAACTAAAACAATGACAATGACCACAGCATTTACAACACCCGCCCACTGAAATGGTTGGGTGAGGTCACTGATCTCAGAGCATAAATCACTATTTAGTGTGATGAAATCTGGTCATAATTCTGGGTTCAGTTTCTTATTTAAACTCTCACAACCTACTCAGGGCATTTTAAAAGAGGGAAGAAGAGCACCTTGTGTCAGGGGTGTCACCAGTGACTCTCCAGAGCATGTGCTGTGCACAGATCATTGTGGGCACACGGCCCATTCCCACTTTCAAAGACCTCAAACATTTCTGTCTGAAGCTTAGCTCAGGTCTGACCAGTTAATGTTTCAAACCTAGACTAGGGGATGTGTCTAAAATGAGCAAGTCTTCTGAAATATGCAGAAAAACAAACTATTACATTTGGCCCATTCCTTCCTACTTGCATCATCTTCTTAATATCCTGGAGGACAGTACTGGGAGAAGAGTATGGACTCTTCATCGTGTAACCCTGCCAGATTGCAACTGCTCCTCTGTCCCCAACCCTTAATAATTCCTTGACCTTGCATTATTTCCAACAGTTTAGAATGCTCTCTCATGAACATATGTCTATGGGCTGGGCAGTAGGCATCCTTCTGTGGTGTAATCTTATATAATAAAAGCCCAATATGCAAATTGACTGAATGGCAGAACGACCAGTGGATCGACTGGTCGTTGTGATGCTGACTGACCTACAGGGGGCAGACGCTTAATGCAGGAACTGCCCCCAGCCCATAGGCCCCAGGCCAGCCAAGGTGGGTGCCAGTGGGTGCCCCCCAATCATCCTGCCGGTCGCCCCACAGATCCACCCTGATTGCCGGCCTGGCCTAGGGACCCTACCCGTGCATGAATTTTATGCTCTGGGCCTCTAGTAAAGAATATATCTGATCTTTGCATTTCTAGGCACAGTGTCGGTATAGTACTTTTCAGAGCTTTGTGCCATTCTAGTGAATTATCTAATCTGGGGGGTGAACAGGAATGTCCAGGTTTGTAGCCATCTAGATAGAGGTGTGGGTAGCTCAGGGGCCCTACTTGAGGCTGGTATCTCAAGTGAGAGCAGTCCTACGGAGGACTGAGCCTGTCCCTGGTGGTGTGTGATGCGAACTCCTGTGGTGAGTGTCAGAGTGTACTGCGGTCCGCCTAGTTAGGGGTGAGACAGGACACACCCTCACATGAGAAGTGAGGAAACTGAACTCCAAGCCCTTTGCATCATTCCCCAAAAGCACATTCGCCTGCACTTGCCTGGAAGGACTACCTGCAGCCTGGAAAAGTTGTCAGTGAGAAGGTTGCATCATTTTTTTAAATCCTTACCGTGAGTGTCAGAGTGTACTGCGGTCCGCCTAGTTAGGGGTGAGACAGGACACACCCTCACATGAGAAGTGAGGAAACTGAACTCCAAGCCCTTTGCATCATTCCCCAAAAGCACATTCGCCTGCACTTGCCTGGAAGGACTACCTGCAGCCTGGAAAAGTTGTCAGTGAGAAGGCTGCATCATTTTTTTAAATCCTTACCTGAGGATATGTTTATTGATTTTAGATACGAGAAGGGAGAGGTGGGGGTGGGGGAGGAGAAAAGAAGGGAAAAAGGGAGGGAAGGAGGGAAGGAAAATAGAGAGGGGGTGAGGGAGGGAGGGAGGGACAGAGACAGAGAAACATCAATGTGAGAGAGAAATATTGATTGGTTGACTCCTCTACATGCCCAGGCCAGGAATTGAACCTGCAACCAATGTATGTGACCTGACCGGGAATCCAACCTGCAACCTTTTGGTATCCAGGATGATGCTCCAACCAACTGAGCCACCCAGCCAGAATGGGCGCACCTTTTTAACATGTTTTAAATTGAGGGTTTTATTAAGAGTATGGTTTTGAGGATAAAGGGCTCTGAGTTTGAGTACTGGCTTCGGCACCCGAGTGACCACGGAGAGTTGCTTAACCACGTCACACCTTAGTTCTCTCACCTGTACAATAGGAATAACTACACCTACTTCAAAGGGCCATCGGAGAATGCAATGATGTATGTAAAGGGCCTAATGCAGTCCCAGGTACAGAGCTGGTGTTTAATGAGCAGTAGCTTTTATTGTGATTCCTACCTTTGAGTGTGGTTTCTTTAAGATCTAAACAAATAGCAGTTGAACCCTAGACAGAAAGACTTGGCTGTACTAAAATG